AAGAAAGCGAGTTAGAGATGATCTTGTTGTTTATGTGTGTGTGTGGTTGCCAATGCATGGCGTGACAGCGCCACTGATTTGATATCTAAGGGCATCCACTGTGCATCCTCTGCAACGCTGTGTAAGCATTTGTAAACACAGAACTGTCAGTTGATATATACTCAAATTTATCATCAGTGACTGAAATATTCTCAACCGCAGCAGCTGATAAAGAGGCTTTTCCCATTAAAAGAGAAGCATCAGCATCTGGCACTTAGACCCTCACAATAAAGGCGTAAATCACTGGCGTGTGATAAGAGTTTTGTCTTGTGCATCTTCAATAAGATTTCTTTTTTTCTTCTGGAAGTCACGAGAAGCAGTTTATTCAGATGTTGATAACCATGAAGGTTTTAAAGCACACAATGGCTTTTGAATGAGTTTTCTTTGGCTCTCACTCCATAAAGAATGAGAAAAGAAGGAGGTGAAACAAAATAAACTACCAGTTCCATGTTTTCTGTCTGAACAGACCAGATGTCCAGCTGAAGCCTGGGTTGATGATGGTTCAGCAGTGTAGAGTCCAGCTGAGGTCAGCTGGCAGGTCTGTGCAGCCTGTTAACTTTTCGTGACTGCTTGATAGCATGGAAACTCTGTTTTTGCTTCAGTTTCTGATTGCGTGGTATGTGCACACTTTTTGTTTTTGCATCTTGGCCACATGTGTCTGACAGATTGTTCAAGATTTAAGGTTTCAATCTCTGGCTTTCGTTTGCACGTGAAGCCAGTGAATGTTTTTGCCTTTCTCGGTCAGGTGTCAGATATTGCTTCAAAATGGCAGATGAAAAAAAAAAGATAAAGCATTGCTTCAGCAGTGTCTACAGATATCAAGTCTAAGTGGAGACAGTTAGAAAGTTTAGGAGCCACGGCTATAAAGACAAAATCCATTTGGTTTTGAATCTGGACTGAGGAACAATCAGCAGCATACCTTATTGACCCGCTAGTGACATAAGGTTCTAGTTGTAGGTTGCAGATCTCTAATGGCAGGTGTCTGACCATGAATGGTCCTAAAAAAATCAGCAATGTACTTTGAGGAGGCTCTTTAAAATCCTGGTCAAGAGTTTAGCAGCTGTACTCTGGTCTTCCAAGAAAGGTGAATATCAGAATGAACAGTCGTCTAGACAGAATGACATAAAAGCATGAATAATCATCTCTGTCTCTGAGACACAACAGGCCTGCGTTTAGCAATATTACTAAGTTGGAAACAGGTATTAATTTAACACTTTACATGTGGATCTAGAGTCATTGCCTGGTCAAAGGTAACACGATGATCTATTACTGGGGATTTAACAAATGAAGACATTAACAAAAGAAATTTCTTTTATCAGAGGTAAACTCGAGAAACCCATCAACCATCTCAAATTTTAATATATTTTACACAATAATGTAAAACAAAATCATATTTTATTCATTGTTAGAGATATATTTACAGAGTAGTGATAACATGTATGTTTGAAGGATATGCAAGGCAACACTATAAGAACAGACTCTTATGGCACAGCACACAACTGAGCTGCAGAGGACGAGGCATGGTTACCGACGGCAACAGACTTTACTGTCATACAGCCCACCAATCAGTCTACCAATCAGGACACTGTGGTCACAGTATCAGGAGTTGTACTGAGATCCAGTGACACAGCATTCTCCTGCATCACCATGCATTATTTTGTCATACGAGACTCGGAGGAGAGGTGATTCAGTCAAGTGTAGTCTACAGTACAAAATAGTACCAAAAAATGCATTGCAAAAGCAAGACAAAAGCACAAAAGCACCATTTTGTCACTACTTTTTATACATTTTGGCCAATAAAGGCAACTTAGAGATGGGCTAGGCAGAGAAAGAAACAAATATATTCTTATCAGATGTAACTGAATATTTGCAAGCCTAAAAGTGGCAGATAGACGAGCGGGTACCTAAAAACTACAGTGTCAGTACACACCAGGACCAATTAAAACAAACAAGATTTGTAAAAAATTAAAAAATTAAAAATTAATTCAGTCATTAATAAAACGATCGGCCAATTTGAAGGAAACAAGAGCATAATCTTAAACTCTCGGCCAGCCATTTAAAATTAGGAGTGAGATAAAGGTAAAAGGACTATATTGGTTAAAACAGCCTTGATTTCATTTGGAAAGAAAGACAACCTATGACACAGGAGTAGGAATACTACCCACTTTAAACTAGAAATTAATTTGTAGAGATATGTGGTCAGGACATGTGTGAGTTGGGGCATGCGAGGTTGTTTGTGCATTGTTTGCATTGTCAGTAAGGTTTTGACCCTTGCATCACCTGAAATTGAGCGCCTCTAATTTGTTGATCCAGGATCGCCGCTGAGGCAGATATATTGGTTTGGCGATGTTGGACCAACATTACTAATCAAACATCAGCCAGTAGATATTTCCCAGGGCAGCTATGAAGCTTTTTTCTACAGCTCAGTCTGGCTGTCAGACCTGAGCTGAAGCCTGCTTTATCAACATCTCAACTTGAAGTTCATTTTTCAGCTTCAGCTCAGTTCCATTATGGTCCAAATAACTCTGACAAAGTATTCACATCATGCAAATGCAATTTTAGAGAAAACAGAAATCTTGTAATACTGTACAGTTATTTGACAAAAACACTGTCTTTCTATATTACCAACAGAGCCAATTAACAATTAATGACAAAGAATGCATTGTAATATAAAAAGAATCTCCTTTAGTGATGCTCCGTGGAGTGTTTTATCATCACTTTTGATTTACTGGCCTGCAACTTCACTGCTTTGTACACTGTTTGAACTGCAGGACACAAGACTGACCTACAATATGCTGCTTGCCCAACACCAAACTGCAGACAGACGCAGCGAGCCACTAGCTATTAAACATGGTTGAACATTTAGCAGCTAAAGTGCTAAAACCTATTTTCCATAGGTGTTAACGGCAAGCAAAATGTGGTTTAAAGGAGGGAGAATGTTGGACTTTCATTTGTAGAATCACAATAAAAACAACTCTAAAGGACACAGAAAAACCCAAAGACAAAGTATTTAAACTTGTGATCAATATATGGGTTTTCATCCAGTTCCTTGTTCTCTATATGACGATGAGTTGTATCTGACCAGCAGCCTCTCAGTGTAATTTATGGCTCCAGCTGCCCACTGTGTCACCTATCAGTGAATTATACTGTGCAAGGCAGATGATTAAGTGATAAATGATTTATGGTCCTTTCAGTCGAGAAATTATACTCTGAGGAAAGTTTAAAGGGATCGCAATGCTAGTTTGATGTACTGAATTAAATGTCTTCAATGAAGACATTTTATTTGTACTTTTGCCAGCTCCTTCTTGTTGAATTCCTTTAATAATTTCTACATTTCTCATGTAAATGTTTTTCTCTTTCTCTCATGAATCCGTTATTGTTTTTATTTCCCATATACAGCCTGCTTTGCCTACAGCACACCGATCAGTTACTCCACATCTCCATTATGCATTCATCTCATCACAAACCGCCGAGGATGGCTAACAACACAACTACATCCTGTCACTGCTGGAAACCTCAATCTCTGCTTCTGTGAGCACATCCAGGTCACCAGCATCCCAACCCAATATTATATTGCATTATCAGAAGGAGAAAGGGGCCAGAGTATTATGCGTTTTGGGGGGCCCATCTGCAGATGAAACAGAAGGGTTATTTCTAGCTGTCACAGTTATTATTGCTTCTGTGTTTGTAGGTGATGTGTGAGTGTGTGTGTGTCCTGAAGGATGTGAACCCCTCAGAAAAATGCTCTCAACAACTGAGAGATGTTAAACATGTGAAATAACAGCATTGTTCCCGCACAGACATATTAGTTGTATTTTATTTATGTCACTACACAGTCACTGTGTTTGCCCCACATATATAAGAGTCCTTTCCTTGAGCCATCTTTATGCAAATATATATTGAAAGGGATCAGATATGATACACTTAGGCCCTTTTCTGACATGGGATATGTAATGTGGCTGGCTTCCTCTGTCTAAGTGACAGCGCTGTGTCATTTTGACATAGGGCACTTTTATGTTAATTTTCATTCAGATACACTCGACACAGTGATGGAGAGGTTGTCATAGTACACACACAATATTTGTCATACATGCGAGATTAAACAGTCACTTCCCAGACTGTTGCGTTGGTCACCATACATAGCAACATCCTACGTCAGTACATCGTAATCTTGTGCACGAGCACCTGTTAATGTGACTGCATGCAGTTCAGACTTGTGACAGTGATATATAAATGTTATAGGTTCAAAATAGTAAGATTACTCCTTTTACAGAAGAGAAACCAGGCTGCTAATTTAGACATGAAGCTGACATGTTCAGATGCAATCAGATGAATGAAACCGAGTCCATGTTTGACTGGAGCTTATTAGTAAAGGACTGCTAACTGGGCAGCTCAGGGCATTTCACTGCTACTTCTCACCTAATGATATGTCTGTTCTGATCAATCTATCCATCACTGTGGTCACTTCTACTCTATTCTTTTTTTAATTGGCCTCCTGGTGGAGTAAAGATATGTATCCGTAAGTAATATGCTGACATGATGTCAAGATGTATTCCAAAATTAGTTTTCTTTGCATTTATTGCATCTCTTTTTGAATATGTCAAATTCTCCACTTTTTTATGATGTATCTTCACATTTCAATAGTGAATGAAATATCAAATACATAAACACACTCCATAAAACGCAGTTATTGCTGCTGAGCATGGGCCTATATATAAATGTCGTGATGCTTTCACTAGCACAAAGGAAATGGCTACATACCACCCAGGCCAAAGGGGGAAAATGTGTTGTTTTAGTGATTTGGGTGAAGATACCCTTTAAATCAACACATCTCTGAGTGTTCATACTGCATGAACCAACCGTGACTGTGTTCCCCAGAGCAAGCCTGTTGTGAATATGGGTGAGTGCATACCAAAAACAGAGGTTCAGACCCACAGTGGGCAGACTGTGCTGTTACTTGCCTCATTGGTGATGAAGAGAGTGAGCTGCTCTGTCTGGAGCTGCTCTGAGGAGTCGCCATTCTGTCTGAGGCCATCTTACTTCAGCTCAGTACCTGAAACACAGCACATACAGCATAAACACTAAGGCTAGGCAGGACCAGGCTATCAATAGATTTCTGTGTCAAATCAAAGTAAAGTCTCTTTCATGAGACGTGCATCTGGTTGTGCAGCATCATTCACCACACACACTCTGGATACAGTATCACACACATATGATTGTATCGTCCTGGCAGTTTTGCTTGCCAGCGCAGGGTTATCCACTACAATATCTCCTTATTGATCCACCTCCAAGCATTCTATTCTTGTCTTGTCTTTTTTTCCTCCAAGTAATTCAATTATCAATAAACCTTCCTGTTTTAAATAGCTGCAAGCCGCTGGTGTGCCAGTGGAATAATATTTCTTATCTTCTAATTTATTGGCTGGCTGCCAGCCAGTGACTCTCTTCCCTACTTTGAGCCTGAGCAAAAGGGGCTGACGCTCTTAAGTGCCCGCAACTTTATTCCACTGTTTTATTGATGTATCCCATTTAGATTAGTCCATTTTCAATCGGGAGAAGCCACAGATGCCCTCCTGCCTGAACCACGCTCTAATCCTTTTAGTTAATGATATCCTGCAGTGGTGTGGTTACAAATTTCATGTTTACTGTGGGCTGTAATTAGCAGGTAGTTACAAAGTGAGACTACCTCTCTCTCACACACACAAACACATACCCTCCCAGTGTCACGCAGCAGGTTTCAGCTGCTGTGCCCTGCTTTTTATTAAAAGCTCACAGAGTGTTATGGGATCGATAGACGTAAACAGAACTCACAACAAAGCAAGTGAGACTACAGAGATGTGTGATGCAAGTTAGGCATCACCAGTTCGATCCTGTGTTGGACTATTTGTTTTGGTTGTTTGAGCCAAAATGGCACAAAGAAAGAACAACTGATTCATTCTGTAAAGTTAGGGGATGGAGAGGATATGGCTCTGCAACGCATTAGAGGAGTCTCTGATTCTGTTTTACTGTTTGTTTTGATTGCTTTGAAACACCCCGAGTTACATAATTATGAGCAAAGAGGGAACTATTTAATGATGGTTGAGGAAAACACAAAAAAGATGTTTTTTGTTTTTATTTTTGGAGTGTGAGTCAGTGACTGCGATAAAGAGATACCTAGACAGATGTATCCCGTAAGACTATACACAGAATACAGATACAAAGAGAAAGAGAAGAAGCTGAGAGCGGAAAGAAGATTCAAAGAAGGGGAGGAAGAGAGAGGAGGGGATCTTTTAACTGCAGTCTTGGCAGGGCTCCTCCAGGGCCATTTTCAGAGAAAGCATCACAGTGATTCAGAAATTATACCAGTACCGTGCCAGGACCATGGAAGTCTGGAAGACTGACAGCGAGCACCTTGTGTTGGGGAAAAACCTCCATTTCTTACACTTGATGCAGTGAGAATAAAGTAGAACAGAATATCACACAGCAAGTGCTGATATAATTGCACTGTTAGATATTCCAATTAAGGCCTAGATGAATTATATTGGCCCTTTAAGTGAGTACAGGGTCACAGCCAACAAGTCACAGTTCGAGCAGATTCCATTACATGTGCCTGCAGCTCATTGCAGTGCTCTTCTGTGGATTACCCTACAAATGGAGATGAGTTGTCCAATCAAGCAATTTAGTCCTGAGCACTTAGAGTGTGCCACTAAGTGCTGTGTTAAGGACCACTGCACTGGAAGTGATCACTGTCATTCTGCTATGAGTGGCCACAGGCTGTTTTTCCTTTACAGCCTCCTGCATCGATTTAGTTTTGGTCCTGACAAGTGCCCCGTTATGTTGTAACAATTTATGTAACGTCACCAATAAAAGCTAAAGTTGTACCTTCTATTCACTCTAAAAACAAGCCTGTGTTTCCGTGGAGCAGCAGGAAGCACAGGTTAAACACACCCAAGTGCACGAAGGCTGCAAGTGCTACAGAAATATGAGTTTCCTAAGCAGATGGTCAGTTTTGACGGTATCCTGGCTAATTTTCTTGCTGGGGTGGACATTTCTTTTCATGTCTGGGCTGAAACTTGAGTGGCCCAGTGGGTTTCCCCATTCGGTTGCCGTGGAGAACGTGTCAGTTGTAGGTAAGCCAAACAAAGGACACCTCTGTCTCAGCCTCATGTCACATGCCGGGTAAAATAACAACCACTCAGTGACTTGTGTGTAAGAGAAATCACCAGGGTGTACGCTCCAGATTTACTGCAGCACTTGTATTTATTCATTGCATGTGTGTTGAGGGGGTTTTAAATGTTGGTATGTGCTTGCATGCATGTTTCTGTCACTTGCAGTTTTCCACTGATGTTTCATGTTGGTTCTGTTTCTAGTTAGTGTCACACCAAATCTGCATTTAATGTGAAAGTCATCTTGATTCTTCCTCATCAAAGCTCAAAAGCCTTTAAAAAGCCTGACTGTATATTTCAGCAGCTTAACTGGGAAGTACAATCACATAGCAGAGTGTCTGGATATTAGACACTGTGTAAAGACTTATAACCTGAGCGGCAAAAACAGGATTCAACAAAATGTTGTGTTCCAGAAGCAAGAAAACATAACCTTGCTCAGCAGTGTCCAGACTAATGTAATGTCATTGTTTTTTAATACTTTAGCATTTCTGTTTTGGCTCCTGATGCTTAAACTAATGGAAAATTGGCAAGCACAGAGCTTTCTTTACCATTTAAAGCCTTGTACATCAGTAACACTTTAAATAGAAGATCACCAATGTTGCACTTCTCTAAAGTTGGTGGAATATTAGGGATCTGCTTCAGTCCCAAAACACTTCTTTCAGACAAACAGTGCCAGTTTTTTAAACTGTAGAACAGGGCTGAAGACATCAAAACCATGGAATAACACGTGGAATTATATGGTAAGCAAGAAAAACTCTGCTCTAAGCCTCAACAGATTTTTGTCACACAAATAAAATCAGTATATGTGCCGGGTAAGATTTCATTGTTCACTGACTTCACTCCCTGTTCTTTCCATAACTGCTGCATCACTGATTAAAAATACATTTCAGCTCTTTCTTTATGATATTTTGTGGTGCGCAAAATGCCTCTCGCAGACTCTGCGTAAAACCACCAAATGAATACAAAAGCTGGTCTGCAGAAAACAAAATACCTCATCACTGTGGCTTAGCTTCATTATTGTGCCAAAAGCAATGAATTCCTGCTCGACACAAACAGAAGAAATCAAACACTGAGCAGAAACTGGAGAAACAAGCGAAGCCACTCACCATTTTGAGAGGCCAAAACCCGCTTGAATCAATGTGATGGAGTTCAAGACGGAGTGAGTCAGGCTGTGCACTCCAAGTTTAATATCCTTGATGTTTCAGGAGTGCCTCATTGTGTAACCCGTTCCTTATGGTTTGGCCTTATTTCAAAAACTGCTTGTGATGAAGTACCAAACTCTTCTTCTCCTGCTGCTATCCTAACTCAGACTGCGGAAAGCATCTACTAAAGAAGTTGCTCCTGGCCATTGGCCTTTAAATACAGTGGATATGCTCTGCATCGGCGACTCGTCGGTGCCATGCTGCTCATGTCCTATCATTGAGCTGGAGACTGGGTTCACAGGAGGAGACAGTGGTCACAGTCTCACCACAGAGCTGTCATGCGGGGAGGAAAACAGAGCAGGATGGGTACTGTATGAGCGGTTGGGTGGGAACAAGCTGGAAGCCGACTGTGCTGAGCCATGGACCCAACATTCCCATCCCACACACAGTGGGCCGGCTCAAAGTGGGCCCTTGTACTTGGACAGAGAAACCTAGACGGGGCAGCAGATAATGTCTGACGTGAGCTGCTACTGCATGAACATTTGGTGAGGTGGCTCAAGTTTGTCCAGCTATAAACCTGAAACCACTCACTCCATCCTACTACACACCTTCCCTTAGCAGATATCAGGCTTAATATATGCAGTCTAGTCTTTTTAAAAACTGATATTCTAATTCTGAGTACCCTGCAGAACAATGGAATGACTGCAGCAGCTGTAAAACAACACTTGAACTGTTCCATAGGAGTGAAACTTTTTAAAAATAATAATATAGCTGGAGAACAGAAATAGTACAATACAGTGGAAATGAGGTTTTACAGATGTTGCTAAAAGAATAAGAGTGTGTAAATCTGAATGCCTGACAAAAACAGCGCCTGCTACCAGGATACTTTTTGATGTTTTAATATACCATCTATTTGGGGAAATGGGAAAATATTGCATGCAGGTTTTGAGCACAAGCGAATGTGCACTTCCTTTAGAGAATTTTACAACCTGGAAATACCAAACTGTCCACTAATTTGTTCCTTCATATAAAGCTTTTATAGTTTTTATCTTGTGTTATTGTTGGATATTTGTTTCATTTCCTTTTTTGTGTTTTTTATTTTTTTTTTATTTACTCCATTGCAGTCTTGACTTGTTTTATAGTTTTACGACATAAAACAATTTGCAACTTTGTTTTGAAAGTGCCTGGATAAATAAAGTTTGTTTCAATGATTTATTACATAAAGCAGGTTTTGTATAGATGCTTAAGACATAGTTTTCTCTCCAGACACAACAGCCCTCTCACCCATTATCTCAGTGAGGCTAAATGTAGAGCATTCCTCAGATAACATTGGCATGGACAATTTATTTTAAGTGTGGATTGTGTTTTGGTCAAGGCTGACACTCACTAATTGTGTGCAGTGTTGACAGAGTTAAATCTGTATAATCTTTAGAATTTGGAGAGGTGGCACAGTTTTTGCACCTCATATATTCTCCATGAAGTCTAAATTGGGTTTATTGCTTTTGAAGCTTTATTTGTCACAAAAACTCGGCTGACTCCTCTGGTATGTTTACACTGAGAATGTTTGTCAGTGTGGTTCTCCCCCCCAATCTCTGGATAGATTTGTTTATTTAATTTGGTTTGTTTTGGTGTTAGGTGCCAATGAAACTGCACAAAGACATGAAAAAATGGGTTTCTGCGCTTCTCCAAGCCAACTGCAAGACAGTTTGCCAAATCTGTCCATAATCCAAGCTACTTTGGAGTATTTCTGTTTACAAGTACTTGTTTGATTTCTTTGGATTGTGTAAATCTAACCAAATGAATCAAACTTTTCCACTGTTGTTCAGACCAAACACATCAAACTTGAATCCATCTTCTTGAGCCCCACACAGCTCCACTGACACATGAGAGTTGTTCAGTACAATCAGCCACTCCCTCAGTAACTGGGGGGTCAGAGATCTGAATGACCTTCTGAGCAAACAGTTTGGCCACAAGCCAAACATTGTGGCTACCATGAGTCCATTCAGCGCTGGTTCACATAAAGCTTACTCTGAGAACCAAGAAGAATGTCAAGACCAAAGGCTGATTGCAGCAGACAGGCTGTCAGTACTGTAGCATTTACAGCATGATAGTTCAGATTGATGATAAATAAAGGGAACAAAGAAACTCCTCAAACTGTTCCAACTGTTCTCTGTTGGCCATTGTGTAAAATATAACATTATTATGCACTGCTTCTATGTGTACCTCCAAAGCTCTGCCAGGAGTTGCGTATTCAGCCCAAGTTTGGTAAAACATGAATGTCTGGAATGAGGTGGATTACAAACAGACATGGATTCTACATTTTCCAATGTGGAAACCTTTTGCCTTTAGAACCCAAAATGTCTGAGAAACATCAAGCAGAGCTGCATCAAGAACATAATCTAACAACACAGGTTATTCTATTTACGCTTTCAGAAATGTCAGTTTAAACCCACAAAAAATGGATTGCATCCAGCAGTGATGGGACAACCTTTGTATTTACTTAGAGGAGCCATTTCTTCTGGACATATTGCAATGACAAGTTCACTATCCACTTTATTTTTAGCTCTGTGTTTGGTCTCTACCACCTCCAGAGGCTCTCGAGCCACTAAATGCTCCACTGTGTTCACCAGTTAGTGTACAGAGGGATTTTAGAGCTATCTGCTCTGAACAGCAATTCAATGATTCATTTCATCTTATACATTGTATTGAAAGAGCAGCTACAGCACATTTTAGCATTTCCTCTGTCTAAACTGGGTCCTCCGCTGGTCTGTCAAAATAATACATCTTTCTGATTTTACCTCAATCATTTTTGATACAGTGGGAACCACCTCTGGAAATACTGACAGCTCCCACAGTTAACTCCATATTCTCCTAATGACTGTGTTCTTAGCATGTGAAGACATACCCAATACACAGTCTCAGCATGCATCATTATGGAGGGATGAAACATAAATTTGCCTTTAAAGACACTCAATGCCATTTCCTGCACCACTGTAGCTGTGTGGCTAATGACAGAGAAACAGTGTCAACATCTTGACACGTGTCAGGGTGGGTGACCGGGGCTTCAGGAGTGTCACAGGTTTGAATGTGTCGCACCGTGATGTCAGGAACAATGTGTAGGAGGAGGAAGCACCGTTCCTGTTTCCATATATTTTTTTTTACAACCAAAAGTGGCGGTACAGTGTTTGGGAAAGACAGTGACAGGAGTTGAGAAAGAAGTACAGATGATGAGAAAATGATGGATTGTGGGCAGAGCAGGTAACAACACAAGACTGTACAAACACTCTGGTTACATAAACGGTTCTCAAAAGAGAGGGATTTTTCTGAATAACAGTTTCATAATACTGGGGGGAAAAAATTAAATAAGAGTTGTTCAGAGGAGGTATGCATCCTATATAAAAT